TATATATTTTACTCCTAAAAAACCCTCAGTTCTTTGGGGTTTTTGTTTAGTTGGCTGGTTTCTGGTTTTGGGCACTAGATTACCTTTGAGATGCAGATGCATAAGAGTAGACAGTAAGAAAACAAATGTCCACTCAGCTGACTCCCCTTTAGAGATGCTCTTTGTGTAGATCTGTTTCCATGCTTTTTTGGTAGATTTGTTTTTTTTTTTACTTTTTGAAGAGTATCTATTACTATTTCTTTTAAGATTTACATTTATTATTATTTTCTACCATGGTGGGGGGGGCATATGTGCATGTGCCCTCTGAAGCCAGAAGAAAGCATCAGCTCCCAGAAGCTGGAGGTTCAGCCAGTTGTGAGCTCCCCGACTTGACTATTGGCAACTGTACCTGGGTCCTCAGCAAGAACAGCACAGGGTCCTCACCAACTGCTGAGCCTGCTCGCCAAGCCCACCATTCGTATTTTGTATACTATGGTCCTGCTAGTACTGAAAATTTTCAGTTTTCTGTGTCTGGAAATACTTTTATTTTACCTTTGGTTCTAAAAGTATAAAGAATTCTAGAGTAACATTGTTTCTAAAGATGCTACTTATGACTTTTTTTAAGATTTAAAAATATTGTGCATCTATGCATGTATGCACACATGAAGGCCTGTGGAGGCCAAAAGAGGGTTTCAGATCCTCTGAGCTGGAGTCAGAGGTGTCTCCAAGTAGCTCCATGTGGATCCTGGGAACCAAACAGAAGCCCTCTGCAAAAGCAGCAGGCTCTCACAGTGGTTCATCCCCCTCTCCAGCCCCTGTTTCTCTGTCTCTTGACTCGGATTTCAAAACAGAAATATGCCATTGTCTTCCCCTTTGTTCCTTTGTATGCATAGCTGTCCCCTCCCCTCCCCCAGCTGCTCTTTACCATTTTCCTGCTCTGGGTATGGTGGTATGTGTCTGAATATTCCCAGTTACTGCAAACACTGGTACACACAGATGGCTTGAGCCAGTCTGGGCAATACAGCCAGACACTGCTCAGGAACCTGAGGCAGGGGGGATCAGGAACTTGAGGACAGCTTGAAGTACATAGCAAGGAAAAGAAAGAAGAATGGTTTCTCTCTTTCCTGCTGGCTTTAAGCAACTTGATGAAGACCCGTCCTTGCTGTGGCTATCCACATGGTTCTTGAGCAGGGCTTCTTGGAAACTATTTACAGTTTTCAGTAAGTCTAGAACATTTTCACCTGTGTTTCTTCACAAATTTTCTTCTGTGTGATTTCTGAGTAAGTGAAGTTGCCTCACTCGGCTGCTGGTCATTTCAAAATTGCTGTTTGTGAATCCACTAACTCACCTTCTGAGACAGTTTGCACATCTCGAAGTCCGCTGGGGCCGATTCAGACTTTCTGAGACCTGCCTTGCCCGATGAAATGCAGCAAGTGTTTTAATGACTTTCTACGCTCTCTTTCATCCATTTTACTTTGTCATCGTTCCAACTGAGTGGCTTTTCTCCTACTGGACACCATATTTTCTTCTTCATGTACTAATTTTCAGTTAGTCATTTTGAGTATTGTGAAATTTACCTTTAGACTCTGGCTAGCATTATGTGTTTTGTTTTTGTTACCATTGCTTTTTTCCCCCCTTGCTTCTGAGTGGTGTGGGTGTGGGTGGTCAAAATCGTGGTTTTATGCATGCTAGGCTAGCGCTCTTCCAACTGATCTGCATCCCTGGGTCCCTGGCTTCCTTGGAGTACAGAAGACTGAATTATAGGCTTTGACCATAAGCAGGTGAGAATTCTTCCAATAGTCTTGAACTATGTGCTAGACTGTAGTTAAAAGATTTCATGATATTTTGATAATCTGGGCTTGCTTCTATGTTTGATTTACTAGCCTGGAGTCCCGGGCTAACTATGGCTATTATTATATTACAAGGTTTTCCAACAGAGTGGTTAGAATCTGAGGTGTTTCTCAGCCTGTGTGAACTTCAGAGATCATTTCCCTCCCTCACCTTGAAACATGAGCGAGCAATTTAGCGCTCAGCCGGAGCCTTAAAGAGTGCCACCTGCAGACCAGCGGGGCTACGTGCAGCCCTTTCCTCTCAAGCGCTCCCCAGACAAATCCCTCAGCCCTGGCTGCTCAGATTCTGTTTTAGCCGAGGAGACAAGCAAATGTCCACTAAGTTAGTCCTTGCTTTGGTTTTTGTTTTGTTTTCAAATTAATACTGCCAATAATCCAGAAAAAATGGGGGTGTTCTTGTAAACCCTTCAGGGCTAGCATAGCAGCCCCCTGTTCCAACAGGAGCACTTTTCTATAAGAAACCAAATCCCAATTTCCCCACATCAGTGTCAAACAGAATGAATTCACTACAACTGCCAAGTAAGCAATGAGATTTCTATAAAAGCTTTCAAAAATTCGGATTTACCTTAAATTTGAATGATTTTTCTGCCCCCAAATGGCAATTTCATCCCAAGGCCTTCCTCACCTTCTACAATGGCACCTTTATAGGAAGAAGGGTAAAGCTTCTGTCTTGCCCATCTACACAGATGTAGATAATCTGGGCTTGCTCCTATGTTTTATTTGGTAACCTGTAGTCCTGGGCTTAAGTTGTCCCATTACTATGGCAACAGCTTTCTCAGAGCTCTATCCAATGTCCAGGATATTACAAGGTTTCCCAACAGAATGGTGTTTTAACAGCAAACAAACCGCCTTCCGGGAAGCAGTTAGCTCTGAAAGGGTTCTAAATTCCTCCTGGAAGAATAACAAGTCTGACATTTGGCGACCTCCACTGATGAGCTGGGAATGTACTTTTGAAGCAAATCTCCCTTTGTTCAATAAAGAGACAGAGGTGGAAGCACACATGGGGGGATATCACCAACAGGCAGGTTAGAAATGCCTGGCTGGCCAGGTAGTGGCTCAAACCTTTAATCCTAGCACTCAGGAGGCAGAGGCAGAAGGATATCAAAGGCAGGAAGGATCTCTGAGTTCGAGACTAGCCTGGTATATAGAATGAGTCCCAGGATGGATAGCCAGGGCTACGCAGAGAAACTCTGTCTTGAGAAGCCAAAAGAAAAAAGAAAACAAGAAAAGAAAGAAAGGCCTGACAGACAGTTCCTGCATAACCTTAATCATGATGGACATAGCGCTCTGTCACTATTTTGTAAAAGGTGAATAGCAGCAAAATGGAGGAGGGTGTTGGGTCAGGGAGATGCCTTGTTAGGCAGGTAAGGTCAGGAGGTTACCCTACTAGGATGCACCCAAAGGTTGTCTTAAGGATCTCTGGTCCTTCAGATTCTGCCTTCAGTGCTCCTCACTCTTCTCCTTCACAGCCTAACTCCCTTTCCACTCTCGAGCCCACCACTGTCTGACAGCCACCTATGTCCTCCCCAGAGCTACTCTATGGATGTTCCCTTCCAGTCCACGGGGAGACTACAAAATCTAAGTGCAAGCACTTGGGGGCTCTTACAACTACAGACGGAGTAACTTAAGAATCTGTCAAATGTGCCAACATAAGCCAGGACTCGTATTTTGCACTTTCCATAGTAATTTTCTGTTATTATACCAAATTGGGGCCAAGGGGATAACTGAGAGTGTCAGCTCACTTACCAAGCATGGGCGAAGCAGCTCTGGGTTTGATCACTGGTTTCAAAAAATCATGATGCTTTAAAAAGCCCTACGTTTGCACATCTGTCACCATTTTCTAAATGCAGTATAACAGCCATCTATGTAGCAAGCACATTGAGTTAGCTGTCATAAGGAACCCGGGGATGATGTCAAGTATATAAGAAGCTACACATGGGGTATATAGGTGGATACAACTCCATTTTATATAAGAAGACAATGGCATCCATCGATTTTGGTATTAGAATCAATAATCGATGGATATTGGAGAGAAGGGGAGGGAAAGAGAGAGGAGTTGGGAGGAACAGTAACAAGGTCATGGTGGCCATCATGAGGAGCGGTGTTCCTGTTGAGTGTTCTTATCTTCCTTGAATGGTTTTCTTCTAAGCTTTATTCACAATCACCAGATATTGTTTATATTAGAAAATCCAGGAGAGCCAAAACATCCACTTAGCTCAGACACAGTCCTCACCACTCATCTCTGAGGCCAAGTCCCTCCCCTTGTTCCTGTCACACCAAGTCTGTTTGGGCTCCTATTCCTTAGGGACACCTTTGCCTCAGTCTCCCCTCCATTTTTGTCATCCCGCCTCCCCATGGAAGTGGGTGTGGCCTTTCCACACTACACTTTTACACTCAGACATGCCTCCAGAATTGCCTGTGACCACCTTTCTGTGACTACCCAGTTCCCCAAACAGGCAATCGTTCTCTGAAGACTCCGGTGCTTTTCCCTCCTGCGGTCTCTCCCGCATCTCCACCCCTCCATTCTGCAGATCTGTGCATCTCCCAACGGTGCCCTTGCTTTCTGTCTCAGCTGATGCTGTAAGCAATGTGACTGTAACCTAAGTGTTGTCACTGAACAAATGAATGGATGTGTGAACGTGGAAACTGAAGTATTAAATGCAGCGGGTGCGTGGGAATCATGTAAGATGTCTGGTATGAAGAAAGTCTCGATGGTAAATATTGTACCGTTTGCTTGTCTTTAAACTCTCCCCCTACCCGTTCACCCCTGGCCTCTGCCCACACCAGTGAGACAGTTTCTCTGTTGTAGCCCAGGCTGTCCTGGAACTCACTATGTAGACCAGGCTGGCCTTGAACTCACAGAAATCTGTCTGCCTCTGCCTCCCAAGTGCTATGATTAAAGGCGTCCGCCACCACCTCCAGGTCAGTCTTTTCTTTCTCAGCATGTGGCCAAGGCCACTTTCAAATCCACTGTTAGAAGTTCATCCAATGAATAACGTATGCTCAAGTTTGCAAAAGTTAACTACAGTCTAACCCCATGTAAAACGGAGAAGTCAAAGGGAGATCATTTTCTGGTTTTTAAATGAAACAGAAGTCAGTCCTGTTCACCACCACACCAGTTGGACAGCCTTTCTCCCCAGCAAAGCACGGCGCGGCATTGTGGTTACTCACTGGAGTTGAGGAGGATCATGGCCTTCACACAGAGGTACTCTTTGTGCTGGAGTTTTAACTCGCGGAACCTTGCCGTCGTTGCCAGGAGCATGTCAAAGATCTCCAGAATCCCTTCTACGCACTTCCCCTCATCCCTGCAAGAGTTCATTTGGGAATTGAAGGAATGAATAGCACTAGGCAGCCATCAAGAGCCTTCATCTCAAGTTCCATCTTGTACGTCCTCTGACTATACTGAAAGGCCACTTAGCCATAGGAAGTCACTAGCACTATGTCCATATAGAGAAAACAAGGTACGCTTGGGTGCAGGCTCAGTGATAAACGCTTGCCTAGCATTCATAAGGCTGTGGGTTAAATCCTTAGCACTGAAGAGGAGGGGGGATTAAAAATGGGACATCTAAAAATTCTTAAACTGTTTTTTTCAGGCAGAAGTATGCAGTGGAGCTACATGGTTCCTTCTACCTCACTACATAAGGATTTCTTGAAGAAATTGCCCCTTCTATGGTTATATACAAACCATCGTGTCAAACAGGCTCACAGAAAATGACTGAGCTTATTACAAAGGGTGATCCCACACTCCCATCACGAAACGCTGATGAGAGAGACTGCCAGAACCAAGTATTTCAAGAAAAACAAACCTTCATATTATCACACGTAGGGATGAATTTAGAAACTGGTCTAGGAGTTGAGAGTCATTTAAGTAGCATTTGAAGAAAGCAAATTTGCCACACCAAGAAATTACAGTTGAGGGTGGGTTAGTCAGGGAAAGCAGACAGTCATGGGGACAGGTGACAATTTTCCTACTTTGACTTGCCAACGTAGATTTTTTGTTTGTTTAGCTTTGTTTGTTTTTGGTTTGTCTCTTTTGGTTTGGTTTGTTGAGACAGAGTCCTGCTATGTAGCCTAGGTCAGCCTTCATCTTCTGGTCTTCCTACTTCTACCTCTGAAATGCTGAAATTACAGATGTATGTCATGCCATCCAGCCTGAAAGCTTTTCTTTATTTTAAACAAAAGTTTTAGGCAAACCTTTTAAGTGTGCCTTATAGGAATGAACTGTTATATCTACCTTTGAAATAAATTATCATATATGAACTGGCAAGCACTGGTTTCTCCTCACACCAGCTAAGACACACATTATTTGACATCACTGCTCTCAAAAACTGTTCTCTTCCATGGCAGAGTCCTGGAGGCCCTTGACTAACAATCAGATGATTTCACCACACATCCACCCAGCTCCTGAAAGCCTGCAGCACACAGTGACAGGCACCACAGCAGCAGTGTGGACCTGTGGGGTCTTCTTTGAATCTTTTATGAGACTACAAAGGGAGGTTGAAGTAAAACAACAACCAAACACAAAACAAGAAACCTGACTGCTCACTGTCTCCTCTCACCCAAACCAAGTCACTTCTAAGGCCTGTGGGCTTTCAGGAGAGAACCTCTGCAGAAGTCATATGACCTGACACCACCACATACCACCAATCCTGGCTATTAGGTGCTTAGCTGTGACTGCAGCTCATCAGGATACTATATTCCACAGCATTCAGGGGCCACACACACACACACATGCACACATATGTGCACACACATATACATATATACATATACACATACATACACATACACACACACATATATATATATATATATATATATATATATATATATATACACAAATACACACTCCTGCACTCACATACTAAACATATAGATACACACACATAGATACATACATATAGATATACATACACATACATTCACACATATATACACTTACATTCACATACCCCACCTCACACACACACATACAACCACAAGCATCTGCTCACTTTGCCTGATAGAAATGGGAACTTCTGAAAACAGTGGCATCTTCCTGAAACTGTAAAGTGACCTCAGAAATCACTCACAGGTTAAAACAACAACAACAACAACAACAACAACAACAACAAAACATCTCGGAGAATCAGAGCCCTGGGCAGAATGCCAAATTCTGCACAAACCCTGCTACACCATACACCCCATCTTCACACCTCCCCTCTAGCCCTTCTCCTCAGCACTAAGTTCCTGGAAGGATGGCAGAGCCCTGAATCCAGCAAGTGGGGAGGAAATACCTGTGCACTAGATGTCCCTCAAGCCAAGTCATCATGCCCCTCTGCCTGCTGAAAGATCATTACTTGAAACTGTAGTGTTGAGCTTCGAGATGTGTGGTACCCAGAGAAGCTGCTCTTTAAAAAACCACCAAAGATGATGAGTAGATACTAACTCTAGCACTGATGTTTTCCTTATTTTGCTTTATTTCAGACAAAGTCTAACTATGTAGCCCAGGCTAGCTTCAAACTTGTCTTTGCCTTCCCAGAACTAGTATAGGTGTGGTTCAACATACCCAACTGTGCACTGATGGTTTAATAACTTGACTCTTTATTCTTCTGTAAAACTCAAACTCAAGAGGAACTATGCACACGTGCGTACACACACACACACACACACACACACACACACACACATACTTCCCAAAAGGATAAATCAACTCAACTGAAATCAATCCTATTTTCCAGAAGTTGCCATCCATGCCAAAGAAAAGGCCCTAAATATCAGGATGAATACTCCTATTTCCTTACTGAAAACATTTCATTGTAATAAAATTAATATTCCAAAATGGAGGTGTTCAGGTATTGGGGTGCACCTTACAGAAAAAGCTCTAGTCTAAACAATCAATCCTAAAGAACCAGGCCTGGCTGTCTTCTTTCTAGCAGGTGGGGACAGGCAACCAGTTCACGTTATGCAGAGTTCAAACATTTTCAGTGACACACCACAGGCTATAGAAAGTAAATACATTTTTAGGCAATATGTGAGGGATACAGAGTACTCCTCCTAAGAGGCTCTGAAGAACCTTCTGCTTTGGGATGAGTGACACAGAACGAAGTGAGGAGGGCTTCTACAGACTGAGGGCTCCATGCCATTCACTGGAGACTGAAACCGAGTTACGAATAAGAAGTTAGGACACGGTTAGGAGATTGGAGTTAAAGACAGAGACGTGTGATTGGAATGTTATAGAAGTATGCTTTGAATTAGTGCCAAATAAAGATTAAATTAGAAATTACAGGTTGAAAAACTTACTTGATTACTTTTTCATTAAAAAAAAAACATCCTGTTTGATACAACAACAAAATATTGGGGTTGCCTATTTTCTACCTGCATCTCTGGCTGCTGGTTCCACACCAGTAGGTGTGGCAACTGGACAAGGGATAAGGGGCCCATTTGTGGCTTAGCATATGGGAAAGACTTCATAAATATTTAACCAAAGTGAAATACTTGGCTAAAATAGTACATTGAAATTTAGGAGTAAATGCCTATGCTCTTCAAGCATGTTTAGCGTATCAATACTGAATTCAAACACAGCCTGTAAGGACAGTCCCGTAAGGAGTCCCAAGAGCCCTGTCAGTGTTCACAGCTGGTCCTAGCCAGCTCTAAACATCCTCCCCAGTCAGCAACAGCTCGGCAGACAGTTTCCTGGTGATGCTGACACAAAAAGTCTCAGCATACACTTTTATTTAAATTACATTTGTGTGTGTGTGTGTGTGTACTTGTGTGTGTTTGCACGTGTGTGTGTGTGTGTGTGTTTGCACGTGTGTGTGTGTGTGTGTGTGTGTGTGTGTGTGTGTGTGTGTAAGTGTGGGCATGAAGGGTCAGTTCTCTCCTTTCACCAGGAGAGTCTTAGGGGGTCGCCCTAAGGTCTTCAGTCTTGATGAAAACTCCTTTACCCATGAGCCATCTTGCCAGCCACATATACATTTGGGAGCAAATAAAAGCTCAGGATCTAAAACAGATCTTCACATTAATTTGTATTTCTAGTGGATGCCAAAAAACAAAACAAAACAAAAAACAAACAAACAAACAAAAAACAAAAAAACTAAAACCCTACCTCATTACAAATAAGCCGAAATCACCAGGTTTTTCTCTCATTCTCAGTACATCCAAGGTTTTTGTTTTGTTTCGTTTTCTGTAGACATTTCAGTAAGAACAAATGGCTCAGGTGAGGCTGAACTCTGCGTCAGCTTAGAAAGCCTGAGGCTCTCAGTTTTATACCCAGCCCCAAAAGTAAAAACAAAACAACAACAACAAAAACCTAAAATAAGTGCTTGACGCTTGTTTTCAAGGGAAACCCCTCGTGAAGGGGCTCTCATAGGACAGTCCGGAAGACAGTTACTTTCCAAGGACTGTGAAATTATTTATTCACTTAACAGGACTTCTTTCCCCAACTTTGAATAAGCAATTTCTTTATGTTAATTTACCTATTATGTTAAAATGTGCTATATATGTATATGTACATGTGTATATGTATATATGTATGTGTATATATATACACACACACACACACACACGCACACACACACACACACACACATATATTCGAGATATTATCTCAGGTAGTTGAGGCTGGCCTCAATCTCACTATGTAGCTAAGGCTTACCTTGAACTCCTGACCTTTGCTTTCCAGAGAATGAAATTACAGGCGTGTGTCACCACACCTAGCTTAAAAACAGATTTTCTTATGTGACATGTACTGAATCTTAGACATGAAATTCTAGACTTCACAGAGTTAAGGTGTTAAAAACAGTATTAGGTTTTTAACTTAATTTTGTTTTGTTTTGCCATGCTGGGGATCAAATTCCAAAGCCTCATGCACACTAGGCAAGCACCTAACCACTGAACTACACTTCCAGTCCTAGCAGTAATATACTAGAGAGATGGCTTTTAAGAACATCTCTTCCAGGGGACCCGGTTCAATTCCCAGCACACTCATGGTATCTCACAACCATTTATAATTCCAGTTCCAGGGAATCTGGTGCCTCTTCTGGCCTCCACAGGCACCAGGTATGACATAGTACACAGAAGTGCATGTAGGCAAAACATCTGTATACACACAATTTTTTGATAATAATAATTTAAAAACTATCAACAGGCCGGGTGGTGGTGGCGCACGCCTTTAATTCCAGCACTTGGGAGGCAGAGGCAGGTGGATTTCTGAGTTCGAGAGTTCGAGGCTAGCCTGGTCTACAGAGTGAGTTCCAGGACAGCCAGGGCCACACAGAGAAACCCTGTCTCGAAAAAAAACAAACAAACAAAAAACAAAAAAACAAAAAAAAAACTATCAACAGAAACCACACATGCGCTGGTGAGATGATTCCACCTGTAAAGCTACCAGCCACTAAGCCTGACAAGTCTGTGTTTGCCCCCGGGACCCACAGGGTAGGAGAGAACCAAATCTCTCAGGTTGTCTTCCAGTCTCCACACACAAGCTGTGGCATGTGCACAGTTCCCTACACAAATGAAAAAAAAACATATAATTTTAAAAATAAAATAAACACCAGTAGGTGCTCCAAAAACCTATCTTCTTAATGTAAATGCATTCGTAACTCCTAAAACTTCTTCTTCCGTATCAATGAAATTATACTAAAGCTATGTGATAGAACCAAACATATAGTCATAAAGACTAATATGAATCTTCTGAAATAATTTCTAAGAAAACCTTTTTGTTTTGTTTTTTGAGACCGGATTTGTCTATATAGTTTATGCCAGCCTTGAACTCGTGATTCTCTGGCCTCAGCATGCGTGCACAAATTGCAGACACACATGACCACACCCTGCTTTTTGTGACTTTTACTAGCTGTCTTATATTCATATATCATAATATTCATGAGGTTCAGGATTCCTTACAGTAACACCTACATATTCTTCTAGAGGTTAAAGAACCGTACAGAGAGGGGAACGTTTAATTTCCTCCCAACACGTTCTCCACCGTGACTCAGTTACTGAGGCACTAGGTTTGGCATCCATCTAGAAACCAAAACAAAAAGTAAAATAAATTTAACCCCAGTATGCACCAATGGGTACAACAGATGATGTAGAAGAATTATGTGTGTGTGTGCTTATGTGTGTATGTGTGTGCATGTGTGTGTGTGTGTGTATGACAATGGCCGGGCTAGGTATTTGGCCTTTTGGTTTGACTGACAATCTTGAGGTGACAGTAGGCGTGTGTTTCCGAAGTGGGTAGAAACTGAGTAGGATCTAGGGCTGTGTTGTTTTTGTTTTGTTTTGTTCTGTTCTGTTCTGTTCTGTTCTGTTCTGTTCTGTTCTGTTCTG